CCTACGCCGCGTCCAAACGCGTGCTGGACTGAGCAAGCTCTCACCAATGCGGGAGGGTCCGTATCGAGTGATCGGCGTCCCCCGGCCGGGCTCCGTTCGGCTGGCCACGGGCGACGGCACAGAGCTGCCTAACCCATGGAACATCGAACACCTTCGTCGCTTCTACCCCTAGTGGGGGTCGGGTGTCAGGTCTCGGGCTCAGGCCAACCCCGCACCCCCCCGGGCGTGCAGGGTTGGCCGGGGGCTACCACATGCATATACTTATCTTTTTTCTCTTCCGTATTTCAATAAAAGCTTTTTCGATTTCCTAAGGACTGTGTCTGTGCCATTGTTTCCTTTTGAAGAATCTTGGCTTGAATTAGCACGCTCGTGCTCGATCCTGCCCTCGGTGTCCCGGGCCGGCTAAAATCGCCAAAAGGGGCCCAGAACCGAGCCGTGCCCCGGGGCGTGGTGAACTCCGGGGGGGAATTGGCAAAGGCCCACAATCGGGTCATCCATAACCCTCGGTCACCACGCTCCCGGCTTGGACAGTCTCGACACGTGGATCTCCCCAGGCACTAGCCCCGACCCGCGCCGTTTGAGGCTGGGACCTGGGCACGAGCCCTTGTTCAAGCCAAGACACAGAAGGACCGCGGCACAGACCATCCTCGTCTCATACACACAACAAACAGAATTGACACAGAAATTTCCTCTTTATTTGATTGCAGATTAAATTAGTCTATACAAGAAGGGGGCCCGAAGGCCTCGGAAGAGGAAAGAAAAAACTATTAAGATAGACGGGGGCCTGGGGGCTCACTCCGACGCGCCCGGGTCGCCGGCCTCGTCGTCGCTGTCGTCCACACCGTCGTCACCGCCCTCCTCGTCAGAGTCGAGGGCGAACGCGAGCCGAGGGGCCGTACCCTCGAAGCTGTGGACGATGTGGTCGGCGGCGTCCCGGACCCGCGCGCGCGTGCCGTCCTCGGTTCCGGGAGGGAACTCTTCCAGCGTTGCCCACGGGGAGAAGTCAGGGTCCCTGGCCTGGTAACTTGCCAGTACGAGCTCCACCGCCCCCCGGGCGAGATCCCTCGAGGATGACTTGATCGTCTCCTCGAGCTCCTCGGGGAGCCGCTTGAGGACCCCGGCCATCTCTGAGAGGCGCTGGGCGAGGCCCCCCTGGTTGGCGGCGTACTTCGCGGTTCGGCCGCCCCAGAGACCCGCTTGCCGCCCGGCGTGGTATAGACGGGAGACGGCGTCCCGAAGCATGCCGGGCCCCACCTCGCTCGCCAAGCGGAGGGCCTCGACCTCCCCTGCGGACGAGTCCAGCGCGCCCTGCAGCTTGGCGATGGTGTGTTCGGCGGCTGCGAGGAGGGCGGCTGGGTCGCCATGGCCCGCGGCCGCCCCGCCGCTGTGCGCTCTCGCGTCCAACTCCTTCGCTCGCTCCTCGAGCTCAGCGGCACGCTGATCCAGTGCGGCCCTCTCGGCGCGGGCGCTTTCCAGATCGCGGCGCGCTTACTCCTCCCGCGCTGCCACGCGGAGGGACTGTCCGCCAGCCGCTGCGCCGCGGCCTCGGCCTCCTCGAGAGCTCGCTCCCGCTCGGTGAGCGCGTCCTCGCGGAGGCGGAGTGCGGACTCCTCTTCGGCGCAGGCGGCCTCGTGCGCCGCCAGTGTTGCCTCCCGGGTGGCGACGGCGGCCTCGCGGTCCGCCAGGTCCCTCTCCTTCGCGCGGGCGCGCTCCTCCAGCACCGTGGCGCGAGCCTCAAGGGCCTCTTCGCGCTGCCGGGACGCCGCCTCGATCTCCGCTGCCCGCCGTTCCCGGGCAGCGACGGCGTCAAGGACTCCCCGGGTGGCGTCGAGCTTCTTCTCTAGCTCCGCCGCCCGACTCCCGTATTGGAGGCGGAGGTCGTCCCGCACCTCGTCGAGCACGGCGGTGGCGATGAGGGCAGTCTCCCACTCCTCCTCCACCTCCCTGGCGATCTCCGCCAGGTCCCTGCGACGGGCCTCGAGCTCGGAAGCGTGCCGGCGGTGTGCCTTGCGGCCCGCCTCCACCATGGCCTCCACCGAGCGCCGCCCCTCCTCGACGCGCGCCCACGCCGCGTCGAGCTCCGCCCGCTCCGCCTGCAGGACCTCCATCTGGGCACTTAACCCGTCTAACACCGTAGTATTCGCGGCGGCCAAGGCCTGCAGAAGGGGCTCTGCGCTCGGTGGGGCAGCGGAAGGCAGAGGGGAGAGCCGTCTCGGTGAGGGTGCCGCACGGCTCGGCCCGCCGATCGACGTGCCGGACGCGGTGTACTCCCAGGTGCCCCGGGCGCGCCGTTGGAGCGGCGCGATCCGGCGACGAAGGTAGTCGCCGAACACCATGGCCCCCGTAAGCCCCTGGGATCGCAGACCCGCCAGGCGGTCAAGAATGGCGTCGTAGCCGTCTCCCAGATCTACCGTCGCCCGCCAGCTGGAGGCCTGCGCCGGGGGCTGGCTCGGAAGTCGGAGGCGCGCTTCGTCGGCGAGGAGGGTGTAGAACCAATCGCTCTTCCAGTCGTCCCACTTTTTGCGGAGGACGCAGGGAATGTAGCGGTTCAGCACCTGCCCCCGCGGCTGGAAGTAGCAGCCACCGACTACCGACGGCGGCGACACCGGCTGTACGGTGAAGAACCACCGGAACAGCCGGAGAGATGGGCGCACCCCGATGAACATCTCGCACAGGTGCGCGAAGATGGCCAACGTCATTACCGCGTTGGGGGTGAGGTGCGCCATCTGGAGATCATAAAACTCCAGAATATCCATGAAAAAAGAAGAGAATGGCGGGACCAGCCCTGCCATTGCGAAAGAGAGGAAGAAGACGGACCGCCCCGGGTAGTGTGGCGCCGGGCGTCCCTCACCCAGCGCGACCACCTCCCGGCCGGTGACAGATTCCGGCATGAATCGGCGCGGCAGCCCGGCCTGCCTCTCGCTCACGATGCGGGAAGGCGGCAGCACGCTACCGTCGAGCGGTGCGGAGCCCCGTGCCATGATGCCGGCGGAGGAGGAGCTTGAGAGCGAGTGAGTGCGGCAAGGGTAGGGCACAGGAAACGAAGAGTTAGTGCTCAAGTGGCGAAGGCAAGGGGAAGAATGGCGAGAGGAAGGAAGCAAATCTCTTCCTCGGCGTCTTTATACCCTTGCCAACGCTATTCCCGGCTCCTCGTTTCCCGCGCCCACTACCTCGCCCCCTGGTTTCTCGCGCCCACGCCTCCACTAACCCAACTCGCCCGTTTGCGGCACACGAGACGGATGTGCGGCCGTAGCAGTTGAGATGGGACAGATCAAGCGCGCATTAACCATGCTCGCCAGACGCGAAAAGCGCCATCATCACGTCTCCAGGCGAAACGAACCGGCTCGTCCCGATTCGCGCACTGCTCGAGTAATGTAGCGGTCTTAAAGAGGCCGCTCATTATTGTCGGTCGGTTTTCCCTTGCCGATGCGCGCAACTTGCGACCGCTGGGTTCCTGCCCGCCTGTAGGGACCTGCCCCACCTGTCACCGGGCCTAAGGAGTGGCGTCACGTCCGAGCGCTTCCCTCGAAGGGGGCAATCGCCCTGGCGTAACGCCGGGGGCTACTGTCGGTGACATGGGGCCGAGGGTATCGTGACTAGAGGCTTGGGTAGCCGCGGTCACCCACGTGGCCTGACCCCCTCGGGGGGGTCAGGCCCGAGGGTGACGTGGCCACACCTCCCTCTGTCTCCCCGAGGGGTCGGGCCGCTCCCGCTTCGGCCCCGAGGGCTGGGGCGCCCCGACCCCCTGTGGTTTTGGCACCACGTGTGTGGGTTAGGTGAGCACAGCGGCGCTCACCTAACCGCACTTATAGCGGATTGACGAGCGCGTCACGCCGCATTTAATGCGGCGCAGTGCGCGCTTATCCGGTCCGTGACCAGTTGCAGTGTGTAACCGGTCACAGACCGGTCAGATCGCGGGTTAGGTGGCAACAGGCGGCCTGTCACACGCCTCGCCCCGTCCCGTCGAAATGATGAGAGCCTCCAGGCACTCGTCTCTAGCCGGAGCTGGCGTGCTAGCTCCTGGAGTGGGTATGTCAGTCCCGGCCAGATTCATACCAGGCTTCATCGCAACCATTACAAGGAAGTAATTGTATGAAGAAGGGCAGACGTGTGGCATGCTAAACTGACACGTGGTAGACAAGAATGACCGGTTTGTGACTGGTCTGACGCCGGTCACGTCATCGGCAGACAACCGTGCTCCCACATTGCATCTGCTTCCGGCGGAGTGGAGGTAGGTATGACCCATCCCATCGGAGGGTCATTCGGACAGCGGCCATTGCAAATCTCCACCCATTAATGAAGGAATGACAGGGCTATCCCCTGTGTCAGGCGAGTGACGGCGCAAGGCCTCACTCAAGGACAAGCTGTGATTTAGCTTCCAGGCGAAGGCGCGAGCCAAGTTTTGGTCAAGATAGGGTGGGTTCCCATCCAAAAGAAGAGTAGGTAAAAATGGTGCATGTGGTATCCCCTTGAGATATAAAAGGAGGACCTTGCCCACCGAAGCAAGGGGACGAGAAAAAAAAGGGAGAGACTCTCAGACGACTCTGAGAATACCTGAGCTCGTAGAGGAGAGAAAGAGGAAGAGGGGTTCTAAAGCCTGAACTCTCTTGCTCTCCGGCTCTCTGTAACTCTTTCACACACAGATCCACCAGAACACAGGAGTAGGGTATTACGCTTCTCAGCGGCCCGAACCTATCTACATCGCCCGTGTCTTGTGCATTTGCTCTCTCGCGAACATTCCACAGATCGAGGGTGAAGAACCTCACTTAGCGCCCCCGGCCGAACCGGCAAAGGGGGGCCTGCGCGGTCTCCCGGTGAGGAGCCCCACGCTCCGTCACACCTATTACAGCTCCAAGTCCAACTGTAACCAAATAGGACTAGTGTATTCGACACCTATTCTAACAGAACTAGAGATGGAGTATATGGATGTACAAATCACGAAGCTTGACGAGCAGGATGCAAATAATTTAAATTTCACCCCAATTTTCCCTCGTGGAATATGACATTAAGGAAATCCATTCATTTTATTATGGAAACCTCCCGATTAATATTACAAGATGACCTCCTTAGAGAAACGCACAACATCCATCACACACTTGATCAATGAACTTATTACAATACTGAAATACTGCATGGAACTAATAAATGAAGAAATAAACATTTCCTTTCTGAGAACTAAACCCAAAAGCTATGGAATCTCAGCAATGATCATCTAGCACTGTGGCAAGTCCGATGGTGGTGGCGGTAACGATGTCTCCTGCGTTGGACCGTTCTGAACCTCAAACACCATGCCAAGCCCGAACTCTAGATGAGCATCGAAGTGGCAGTGCATGAACCAAACCCCTGCATCAAACACACAAATGTCAAATTTGATTTCACAATAGTCAAGTCAACGAAATGATCAGAAGAAAAGAAATTCTGGGTTGTAGCTAGTTACGGGTCATCTTCCCTATGATAACTAAAAACGTGCAATTTTAGATGTCGACAGTCTTTGGAATTCACCGTTGACTATTATCAAAAACACAAACTCTGATAAAAATCGTATATTGTGACATATTTTCAAGCAAAAATTACTGCAATCATCTGCATATGCGTATAATTTAAACTGTTTGAATATTTACATTGAAAGTTTTAACGAGACATTAATTTGGCATTACCACGCGTGTGATACACTTATAATTATAATTAATAGTACTCCCTCTATTCCATAATATAAAGTTTTAAAAACTAATATTTCACTAATAATTATAACCATATGAAAGTAAATTCAAATTTTAATCTATAATATTATTTTCAGCAAATAAAATTTAGTTCATATTATATTGATTGTTGATCGTGCTTTAAAAGTTGAATCTTGAACCACATGTGTGTCTTATATGATGGGATGGAGAGAGTATATGATTTTGTGCAAATATATACCTGGGTTGTCTGCAACGAAGCGGATGACGGCCCAGCCGCCGGTGGGGACGGCGACGGTGTTGCGCTCCTGCGGATCGACGAGGTTGAACTTGGCCGGGTCCGTCGTCTCGTTGTAGTTGCCGAAGCCCTGTGCGAGGACGAAGAAGTTGAAGCCATGGAGGTGCATCGGGTGGCTCTCCTTGGACACCAGCCTCGTGTTCTGCAGCACCATCTGCACCGTCGAGTTGTACTTGAGCGTCTTCACCTTGGTCGACTTGAACGTGTGCTTCAGCGTCGCGTTATCGTCCGATGCGTCAGCGGTGTAGTCGAAGACGATCGGCGGCGTGTCGGGGAAGTCGCGGGTGTAGACGCCGTCGATGGAGCCCTTGTACATGGCCTCGAGCATGGAGGTTGTGTTCGGGAGGATGAAGGAGGCGTTGTTCATGCTCGACGCGAAGATGGTCCCTTTGTCGTCTGGCATGCACATCGTCTGCTCCGGTCCGCAGAAGGTGTCTCCCATGGAGACGGTGACGAACATGTGGGTGTCGACGGCGAGCGGCACACGGTTCGGCACCAGCGCCGTCATATTGGAGAGAAACCGGTGCGCGGTGGCCGTGTCGTTGTACTCCGGCATGTCCGGCACCATGGGTGGCGAGGTCGCCGGGCCGCCGCCGTACTCGACGATGGCCGTGCTGTTGGTCAGGCTGTACAGAAAACTTGGGTCGGCAGCATTAACGGCGCTGTTGTACGGGATGACCGCCATGTAGTAGCGCCCTCCGACGGCCGCGGCGACGCCGGCGTCCGGTACCAGGAGCGCGTCCACCGTCTGCCCCGGCGAGATGACCACCACGTCGGTCTTGTACGGCTTGGTGTAGCACGCGTCGGCGGCCACCACGTTGAAGCTGTGGTTGGCCACCTTGAAGAAGAGCGGCGTGTTGAGCGCAGCGTTGATGATCCGGAGCATGTACGTCTTGTTCTGCTTCAGCTCGAACTTGTGCGTTTCTGCCAGCAAAAAAAAACACATCAAAATTCATCCAAGACACATCTCGATTGCCATGAATATTGCATGTGATCGATCAGCAACTTACGGTTGGGGGCAGAGCAGTTGTAGAAATCGCCGGGCTTGCCGTTGATGGTGTACGCGTCGGCGTGGGGCGCCGGATTGCCAGTAACGAGGGAGCGCTGCTGCAGGTCGTACACGTTCGTCTTCCACCACTCACCGAGGATGACCACCACCTCCTCATCGGGCACGGGGAACGGGTAGGCCTTGGCGCCGCCGCGAGGTTTGATGATGAGCGCGCCATAGACGGTGGCGCGGAGGAAGGAAAAATGGGAGTGCCACCACAGCGTGCCCTCCTGCCCGGTGACGTTGAACCGGTAAGTGTAGTTGCCTCCGGGACGGACCGGACACTGCGTGACCATAGCCGGTCCATCCGCCCATGGCGTACCGCGCTGGAAGATACCATGCCTGCATCCAAGACACAATTGATGATAATCCTTCGTTCACCGTGGATGAACGTAGATATTAATTTTACCGTTCTTGAGAAGATAAAATATTACCAGTGGATGGTCATGTTGTAGGGTGACTCGTTGACCATATGAACAACCACCGTGTCGCCCTCAGTGGCAACGATCGTCGGGCCGGGGAGCTGACCATTCACTGCAGTTATGATCATTTCCTGCTGGCATAGCTGACTAATGGAGAGGTTACCTACCTGCTCAGTTCAAAAATGTAAGATTAAGACATGGTTTAGTTCGATCACCTTTGACAAGTAACCCCTCCTTGAACACAAATGAAGTTCTACTCCCTCCGGTCAAAAGAATATATTTTTTTTTCTTGTGCAATTTTGCACCCATTTTTTTTATCGTAACAACTAACGAGTACATAAAATCTAATATGTTAATGTGAAGAATCTTGTCACACCAGTTTTGCAGTTTCAAACTAAAATTCTTAAACATATTAATAATAGTCCATATTTGGAAACTGCAGGAAATAGTATTAAAATTTATGTATTTGATTCCAGGAGAGTTTTTTTTATGCCATGTCTACGTCTTGAGCCAAAAGCCCTATCTCATGAATTAAAGATAACAGTGTTCATGCATGTTGCGATATATATGCGATAAAATAGAAGAAAAAAAACTGCATGCATAAATGGAAGTATATGAAAACTAGATAGAATATTACATTGAAAGTGTACTCCACAACAGCAGCTTGAGCAACGGAAGCAACCAAAGCAAGCGCAAATGGAAGAAGAAGAAGCGACCATGATCTCGCCATATTATCCTTAACTATTTGTGTACCAAATGGATGTTCGAGATGGACAGGTGACTTCATTTGATTTTGGATGAAGTAAATTATGGTTCAAGATGAACTATTTATAGAGATGTTGGGGCTGACTGGTTCAATCATCAAGGAAGACAATTAAACAGACTTGAAATTTCATGCTTAACTACAGAGAAAGAAGACGTGCTTAGATTCTTTTCTGCTGCTTCAGAAGTTTTATTTCTCTGCAAGTAATTATGGAGGCAGTTAAAAATTCCTATATATTCCTTCCCAAGCTTAGCTTTACTTGCTAGCTAGTTACGCACATGCTTATGTTGCTTTTCTTTGGAAAAGGTTGACTAATCAATGCTTCTAGTTTAGTACTCATGTATGACGATAGCAATATAGTAGAAAAAAAATTGACAGTTTCATGGTTAGTTTGGTGTGGTGCAGATTCCATATATATGGTGCTGATGTGATGACATAATTATAGAAAAGTATGTGCAAAACTTTTGGCCGTCGAGCACATCTGATATCCCTGACAGTTCTTGGACATCTCAAACAACTTCGACACAGGCGATTTTTACGCAGGAGCTAACCCATACAGTTTCTCATTTAGATGTATACTCCCTCCAAATTTATAATTCTTACTGTAACACTTTTAATATGGACATGGTCTCCAAAACATATATTAACAACGATTTTTTAATAATATATAATAAAAGAAAAATTTTATTTTATTAAAGTACACTGTCTCTACTTCCTTCGGTTCCGTAATTACAGATATTTTAGTTAAGGATGAGAGGTGAAACAATTAGAATTTTACCAATCAATAACTTTAAAATTATTTACTCCAGGTATGTATTTAACGTGAAAATTGTGTGGCACCGTGTATGGATTTACATTAAAATATGATATATTTTTTTGGGTTTTTTTAGCCCGAAAAATCAACTCATGGACGCGCGGCTGGAATCAACGTGTGTGATGATCCACATCATAGAGGCTTTTTATCCGTGTAAGTGATAACCCACATAACAGACGTAGATACAGAGACGTTGTCTCTCGTGTTTGTGTTACGTGCCCGTAATATTGGGGGCATGTTGAATGATTAAAATGTAGTTGTTGCTTAGGGCCGGTATCGTTATGCTTTTTGTAGCCTTGCCAATTTTCGGCAATGGTAGAATTGACTATTGCAGATGTTTAGATTGTTACTCCCTCCGTTTCAGTTTATAAGACTTTCTAGTATTGCTCACATTTACATATATATTAATGAATTTAGACATATATATGTGTCAAGATTTATTAATATATATATGAATGTTGGTAATGTTAGAAATTCTTATAACCTAAAACGGAGGTAGTACCATTTTTTTTTAAGTAAGAGTTGCTAGCTAGGCTAGCTAGTGTTTAGTTTCCTACTAAAGAGTATTTCGTCGTGGACTAACTAAAATCAACCAAACCAAAAAATAGGCAGTCAAAAATTTGGCTACAAACAAAATAAGGCATAAAATTTTCAGCAACACCATTATTTTCGTATGGTTAAGTTTGTGAGGCAAAGAACCAAACAACTAGATCTTAATGTGATATAATTTGGGTAAAACAAGAAATACGACAGGGAACATATCCTATGCACATAACATTTCCATGCGCGCCAACTAGCAAATGTCATGAAAAGTTCTAACATATACTCTTAATAGTATTACACATATATACATATATATATATATATAGCAAAGTCTCATATTCAAATTTATTATATTTTAGCCTAAAAATTGAGAAATTTAACAATTTTAAGAGTAGAAATCTATCAGAATTTTATCTTCCTTTTGTCACGGCTAAAATATAATAAATTTGAAGATCAGATTTCACACATGGGCCGGTGTAATACTATTGAAAGTACGTGTCTATTTTTTTCTAAAATTTTCTGTGACATTTGTTACTTGGTGTGCACAGGAATATTATGTGCATAGGATATATTCACACCTATATAACGTTGGATATATAGATGAAAACGATACGAAAACTTTATGGAGTTCGGACTTTTTCGGAAACGGAAATTGTTGCTCGGATTTTTTTGGAGTCTTTTAGAAACGGAAATGAATTTGAATTTTTATATCGGAAACGGAAATGAATGTGATAAGAACAGTTTTCGTCGAAACTCGGAATTGGTTGAGAACTTTCTATACAATTTCTCGAAATTTCTAGAGTTACAAAGGCCCGTACTATAGTCCATAACCATAATAATAGCCTAGCCCAATCCAAGTTAGCATCCTATTGATTGTATTGATTGTGTTTTCTGATATACCGTTGACTACTGAGACTAGAGATAGTAATTGGACATGATAAAGTTTTAACCTCAGTTTGAGGGGGTCTTGTATTCAGATAAATTTACGTAACCGTATCCATGTCAGTTCTTATTCGCTACATTTTTTTTCAACAATATTCGATTCCATTTTTATTCTGGGTTTCCGATTTTGATTAAAAAAATAGAAACGGAAACTATAGAAATGATTTCCGATCCGTTTTCATCCATAGTGGGAGTGCATCCATATATTGGTAGTCATTCTCACATTATTGTAAGGCAAAATTTACTACAGGGCATCGAAAAAACGTGTAATTAGCTTGTGGACATCGCAAGAATGAGAATTTGCTGTTGGTCATCACAAAAAAAAACGTGTAATTAGCTCCTGGACACTCTGAGCCTTATTTTATTATTTAATGTGAATTTGGAGAGAGAAACACGATGAGAGTACGATTTTGCCCCTGCCCTCACACTGGCCAGAGCACCGCCGCCACCACCTCCGCATGGCGGCCGGAGCCCACGCAGGCCACCAACGCACGCCATCGCATGCACTTCTGCACCGCCGCCGCCAGCCAACGCACGTGCATGCCGCCACCGCCGGCGGCAGCCGACGCACGCGCGCGCTGCTGCCTTTTCCCCCATCTGCGCCGCCACGCCGGAAGACGAGGAAGACGACAGCGACAAGGACAACAGGAAGGAGGAGGCCGTGGGGCTTGAGATGCTGCGCATCGACCGCGCGTGGAAGTCCGTGAAGCCGACAAGCTCTGCCAGCGGCAGCCGCGGGCTGATGCCGGTGGAGCTGCTCCGGCCTGTGGTCGCCGCCGTCGCATCGCTGGCTCGCTGCGTGCGTGCATGTGCTGAGGAATCGAATCGAATCGAGGGAGGAAGTGGCTGGTGCGTGGCGGCGATGGACGGGGACGCCAGGGTGAGGAGTGGCTATGGCGCGAGGGCGGGTCCTGGTGCTACTACTAGTGCTACGACGTCGTCGTCGCCGTCGTACATGAGCATTGACGGCGACGACAATGGTGGTGCCGGCGGGGCGAAGGTGTGGGTGCTCGTGCTGCTCTTCTTGCTGATCGTGCTCATGTTCTTGCCGTCGGTGGTGCGGCGAGGCAGGCCATGGGGAGGAGGGGGAGGAGAGCACCATCGAGGAGGGGGCGGGCTTAGCCTCAAGAGCGGCCGGGATGTTGTCAACCTCTGCCTCGTGGCGTTCGCCATCCTGTGCGGGCTGCTTGGCCGCGCCAGACGACTTGCTGCCTCGCCGCCGAGCCGGCTGGAAAGAACTAGCTCGGCGCCATACACGAAAGGGAATTCACTGTATGTGCATGTGCTCTCGCCCTCCCGATCAAAATTTCCCCTCATTTTTTTTGTGATCTCTCCATCTCTATATTCAAATTGTTGTTTGATCCCCATTTCTCTCCCTTGCAATTGCGAAGTAGCTGCCATTGACACGGCGGGAGAACGGGATGCTGGCGTCGAGGCTGGCGAGGAGCAGCTCCGCGATGTTGTTGTTGGCGTCGGTGTCGTCGATCAACACGTCCGTTAGCTCCACGCCAAGGGGGTCGGCGGCGGCGACGAGCACACGTATGCCGGCCAAAGCGCGGAGCATCCCGGCGATGGCCGCGCTCCACCGCTCGGACCCATCACAAGGACAGAACACAAGTGCTGCACGTGTTCAGCTCCGTCGCCGCCGCCGGCCAACCCAATGTGTTGTCTCACTGTCCAGGTCGAGACCCAAGGGCAAACTTGTCTTTATTTAGTGTTTCTCTCTCCAAATTTACAGGAAATAATAAAATAAGGTCCCGAGTGTCCAGGAGCTAATTACACGTTTTTTTATGCCCGACAGCAAATTCTCGATTTTGCGGTGTCCACGAGCTAATTACACATTTTTTCGATGCCCTGTAGCAAATTTTGCGTTATTGTAAAAGAAGGGCCATCATGATGTATGCAAAGTGGTCACCTTTGTCACATGCTGTTCAAGTGGAACTAGAAGTAAAGAAAGACAAGTATTGTATAACTTATTCCGGGCTTCTGAGAAAAGGTTGAACTACGAATGTCATAACTTTCTCATATGAACTGCACCTACGATCGCAAGTTATCCAGATGTGATAGATTGGAGCCTAATCATGAAAACTATCTTCCGGACAATCATTGAGTTCATTGAGTACGTAAAAGTGATTACTACCTCCGTCCCAAAATAATTACAGTTGTAGGTATCTGTATACAACGTTTAACCGTCCGTATTATTTAAAAAAATTATGAAAAAATTGAAAAAAAAATAGTCACACGTAAAGTACTATTCATGTTTTATCATCTAATAACAATAAAAATATTAATCATAAAAATTTCAAATAAGATAAACGGTCAAACATTAGACATGAACAGTGTAAAACTGTACTTATTTTAGGACGGAGCGAGTACTTATGTGGTCTTCAAAGAATAACATCTAGATCTCCTAAAACATGTGGTGCCAAACATCGAACTCTTAAACCATTAATTAATTATTAAAAATTAGGACTTCCATATGTGAAAATAATATTAGTGAAAACGCAATTTTTTTTTCTTTGGAACCCAACATTTGAATGTGTGAAAGAGAGAAAGCACATCTTCCTTGGGCAGTCAGCCATCAACCTTTTCTTCGGTGTGCTCAGCTGTCATTATGTTTATCGGATGTTACAACTGCAAAGTCATGCATACTTAGCAAAGGTCATTTTATTCTATAGTAGCATATATCATTCTCAATTTGAAGAAAACATAAAAGTAAAGTTCATGTCTAAATCAAGATTAACGTGTGAGTTA